TCCTTTAAGTTCTAGGTTGGTTATTAATTAGATCATTCAATCACTAACTTTATTAATGTGTCTAAAGTGGTAACGCTAACCAGATTCACCTATTTTTTTATTTTGGTTCTGCAAATCCTCGTAGTGTTTTACCACTTCTCAAGATGGCTGTTAGTTTAGATATAGTTAGATATATGTGCACCCATCTTACAAGACCCCTGGTTACGGCCCTGCAGTGAAAAGCTTTGAATATCAGTCCACACATGTATAGACAAGACAAATATCAAGAAGCTGCAAGACTTTTGTCGTTCTTAATTTAACATATCTTGAGAAACTCGAAAGTCGAAAATTGAAAATTCCCATTCATTTAATGTCAAATATTACGCTCCAATAAGCACAGAAATCCATAGTATCCCATGTTTAATCTCTTGCCCCGTGTACAATCGCTACTTAGCCTCCCCTCCTTCAGAGTAGATAGACGTTGAACACAGACTTGTTATTTTTATGTATAACAAGAAGTCGCCATTTGTGTATTCTCACTTTTAATGTCTAAACTTACAAGATACCGCGATAGAATAAGTAAACTATGCTACTTATGGTAAAAGAATAAAAGGTACGAAACACATAAGGAAGAGCAAATACTAAACCCCGCCTCCGAGATATGCTTCGCTTGTCACGCACAAAAATTAAATTCATTCTTACCGCCTTTCACGAATGGCTGAGCACTTAGCACGTAGCCTCATAATGAAACCTTTGTGCGTGACAAGCGAAGCATATCTCGGAAGTGGGCTATTGTACAAACAGGGTAAATTCTCAGTCTCCATTTATTCTATTCCTCCTATTTATTTACACATTTTTTACTTAAAAAAGGGCGGATATTATCTGGGAAACAATGTGCGATAAATTAAATCAAGAATAGGACAGCAGTCGCAGAGGTCAGCGGAAGGTCTTGGAATTATCAAGAGAAGCAAACTGGTCCTATTTCAAGTCCAAACTCCTCGTCCGTGTCTCCAATGTCGTATACAGCAATATCGTGGATAGGGAGACGGTTTGGGTTGCCTGTGTCGATTTCCATTATTGTCTGACGCCAGGTACCATCTTTAACCTGATGAACGGAAAGAATAAATTTGGAACCTTAAATGTTGGTAGAACAGGTCAGAAAAACGGGTTCTACTTTCGACGTTTATACGTTAATAAGCTTTATGTTTCATAAACAGACTCTTTTGGGACTGATTAACAAAATACCAAAACTTGGGGAAATTCAAGGAATGCGTATTTGAGACATAACGCCCTGAACGTTGGGAGAGGTGATATTTTGATCAGCACAAAAACTAACATTTTCGCTAATACCTCGAAGAATTGCTCGAGGTTAGCAGAATTTTGTGAAAAGTTTAAAGCACAAGAGACACGAATGAAACACTAAACGATTTTTTAGCATGAATGAGAGATAAAGAAAAACATTGCGAAAGTAGCAGCCTTGTCGTTTTTCTGCTCTGTCTGTTGGTAGTATACCAGGGGCGTAGCCAGGATTTTGTCTTTGGGGGGATTGTAAAGCGTTTATCGACAAGCTAACCTATTTGCTATCAAGCGCACTAAAACGACGGCCAAAAGAATGTGGGGTGGGGGGTGAGTGAGCAGGGCCCCCTTGGTCCACCCTGGCTGCGTCCCTGTAGACTGATGTCATGGCCGCCATGATGGATGACTTAAACAATGTCAACCAATATGGCGGACATGTCAAAGACATGCTGTCAAATAAAAGTATTACATAAAACTGAAGTCAATTGTTCTCCCTTTTCTCCGAGAAAAACTAGCTTGAAGAAACAATCTGCATCTCTTGCAGTTATCTTACTCGGCAGTCATCTTTAAGAATCGTTGGTTTGTATTTCTTGGTGCTCGAGGCATGGAGCTCTACTCCATTATCTCCTTGAAGCTTGATTGACTTTCCATAGTCATGTGACTCCTCATCGTACCAGGCTGCTGAGTTGCGGCAGTGGTATGTGACGTTTTGCTTGGCGCGGTCACTCAGCAGACGTAGGAAGATAAGTTGAATGGGATCTGAGGCGTACTTGAACTGAAATAATGGAAAACCGTCAGCAATAGATTAAATAACGGTTTAAAAAATACATAAACAGCCAGCATTGACTATAGAGGATAACACGTAAAGCACGGGTGGATTGAGCTCATAATAGGGGGAGGGGGAAGGGGAGGTGTGCGTTCCCATTCACTTCAGAGTCTACAGACTTGAACTGATTTTAATACCTACAAACGACCAAATACAAGTATTAACGAGCTGAATCTCTCCGGTATTCGAATAACAAGACATTTGTCTTTGTACTTACTTGCTGGAATCCATTGAAGTATTTACCAAACCATTTGTAGCCATCAGGACCAAAAAACCATTTCTTTTTCTCTGTCTTAACACAATGAAAATTACAGGAAGCCAGTCAACGTTCATGCATTTTGCATTGGAATGATTTTTTGAACCATTCAAAGGGTATAACATTTGTACTTAGCTAATAGAAATGCTTGGACACGGCACGGTCACGGCACGGTCACGGTCACGCTACTGTTTCTCAGTACCGTAATTTTTTTATTAATTAAAAAAAAACTGTTTTGCATCTTACCCTTGTTTTGTTGGGGAAAATACAAGAGGCATTTAAACTGAAATCACAGAAGACGAGTAATGCATCATCGATGGTGCCTTCATTAGGATCAATCCAGTATTCACCTGACATAAAAATGAATATTCTGACAGTCAAATGCTGAACGTTAGTTAGTTCAATACGTTAGTTATTAAGAATGGTCCCGCTAAACATCTATGTAGAATCTTCTTCTTTCGCCTTCCCCTCCCCTTATGCTTTCCAGTCTCCCTCCGAATCCCAACCCCACGATTATGGCCGCTACACAGGCTAATTATAAAGGCTCGCACCCAAGGCACAGGAATGGTGGTCAAACACATGCGCTGTTAACCAGAACTATCATCGAAAATTAAACTTGCGATTCATGAGCATTCTGCACGAGACAGAAAATGACGTCAAATAAAACCAAGCCTGGTGAGCTACAGAAACAGTTAACATGGCTGCCGCATGAAAAAAGTCCATTTGGAAACGACATTATACTCTACTTACCATTCTCTAGATTGGGTCTACCTAATTTAAGGTCACGGCACATTCTGGCAGGGTGAAGTCTGGTGCCAAGGGGTCTTTTGAAGACTTCCACTTGAACGCTGAGAGATAAGTATGCTGCAGTTGGATCTGAGAACTGACGACAAAAGGTTTGTTATTAGCAAACCATATCGAATATATTTCTGAATGATGTGATTAAAACGCTTGTATGGCACATCGTGGCATGTTGCGCAAACCAATTAGCCATGCTGAGGTTAAGGAACAAAATGGTTCGAGTTGGTATTGCAGTGCATTGTGGGGTTCTTTTAGGGGACATATTTCCAAAATGGCGTTTATTTCATCCCTAAAACAGTCCCACAATGCACTGCAATGCCAACTCGACACAGTTTTCCCCTCAACCTCGGAATGGCTAATAAATATACTACGGATCTCACCGAACTGTGACGACACGTCAAAAATTTGTCTCGCTACCACACCCTAATTCGTCTACTGACACACCTACTTTTGTCACTGTCTTGGATCCAGCACATTGCCAGTAAAGTATTCACTGTAATACATGTATCAAAAGTAGGCGTGTCAGTAGACGAATTAGGGTGTGGTAGCGAGACAAATTTTTGACGTGTCTGCACAGTTCGGTGAGATCCGTAGTAAGCTGAGCGGTTAAAGGAGACACCTGCATCCCATCTAAAATTCACTTTTTCCCAAGTAAAGTGAATAGTAAATGACAGGGGAAGAGCGATAAAGGTTTCCTATTCCTATCAAAACCAGYATAGTATTCCCTTCCCCGGGCCACGAGGTCATTCTTTCGTTTTCCCGGCATCTTCTTACGCAAACGCAATGATATTGCTTTTTATTTTCAAAAAAATACCTTGTTAATGTTGAGGAACATAGGATCTTTTGCTTGAGCTCCCTTAGAAAACGCAAAATAAACGATTATATATTGTGTATCCAAATGATTGTTAGACATCCCTACCGGCGGTTAAACCGTGTTCTTTTATCTTGGACCGCGTTTTACATGAAGGTCGGGTGTCCCTTAGCCTCTAACGTTCTTGGGGTCTCTCACGCAACGTTACCCTCCCAACTAACGACGTTGCATAATCGTTGCGTGACAGACCCTAAGACGTCTGCGTAGGAGGCTGGGTGACCCTCGGGCTAGGGACAAGTCTTTTGTTTTCTTTCCCCAATGAACACCAAAAATATAGGAATTAATTGCCCTAGTAGTAGGGACACCCTACCTTCATGTAAACGGGTCTTATATCCAAAGAAAGGGTAAGAAAAAAAAGTAAAGTGAAGACGATAACCTACAGCAATACTTCTGTACAGCCGCATCTGATCTGTCTTGGTTGTTGCTAGATTCGGGGCAGATTGGAGCTGTAGAAAAAGAAAAAAAGGAAACGTCAATTAAGAAAGGTATATTAATCAATATCAGAGCTACATTTAATCTTTCGTCCGTTCATTCGATTTTCGTCTACTCTCGTTCGTTCCTGATTCAGCCATTCATCCTTTCGTTTATAACTTACCAATGAGTATCTGCCAACCACGGAGCCCTAAAAATATATCAAAGTTAACTCAAGATACATTCCTTCATGTGTAGTACGTTTAGAGGTCGTTAATTTTCGTAACAAGTGTTTTGGCTTACTACTACTTTTCATCGTTCGTTTTACAGTGAGGACACTAGAACCGTGAATACTTTTTGTCACGAGTTTTAAAAACAAGAGTTTTTGACACTATTAAAATGCATAATGTAAATCACCCGCTGAGCTAATAGATATGAAACAAGATTTATTTTGACTGCATCGCAGTCGTTCCTGGTTGATTCTGGTTGTTCCGCCCCAATGTTCCCCGTCCTCGACCAGAACCAACACAGGCAGCCCACTGTTGGCCTGTATCGCACTCGTTCCTGGTTGATTCTGGTTGGTCGGCCCCAATGTTCCCCGTGTTTCACTATCAGAACCAACACAGTCAGCTTAGTGCAACCGCCTGCCTGATCTTTAACCACGTTGTTACAAATACATAAATAAAACAGAAAAGCAATGGACAACTTCGACGATACGGCAGCCACCTTGGATCGCAAGGCATTATGGGGCGTCCCGGGGGGGCAAATAAAGCTTTGTTACAGTAACAACGTCGATTGATAGTAACAGCTCTTTACGAATGAATACAACAAAAGACGAATGAATACGGCACATCTATCACCTTTACCCATAAAAGAAAGACAAACACACGAAACTATATATATTTTCTGTCATCTTTGTTTTGTTTTGCCCTCTGGCAAGATGGCTGCGCCCTATCGTCAAAGTAGTCCATTCTCCATGGAGGACACATACGAGATTTCATAGCCAGAAGTTATACTTACAGGTATGCCGGGTGGTCCGGGAGGTCCAGGATTGCCCTAAAGAGGGAGAGAAAGGATAGTAAGAGAACAACAAGAGAATAACGAGTGATATATATGGAAAGGAAAAACACAAACAATATTGATAGTTACCTGAAATCCTTCTTCTCCCTAAACAAATGGATTGAACGGTCAAAAATTAGTACGAAAAAATTAAGAACTATGATGTTCGATGACAGTAGATGATGATGATGATGTATATATAGTGATGAGGAAGATGGTGAAGATAATGATAATTTTGGTTATTATGATTATGATAACGATAATAAATATTAATAAATAATAATGAATTTTTTAGTATTTTTACACCAGTGAATATAATAAATCCGTCGCGCTCATTGGTCACAATTTACGTCTTATGCTGATATCGATTCACCTACAGGTGAATATAACTCGCGCACGCGCAGCTCGTTTGTCGATTTGTGCCGCTTGTAGAGATAAATACAATTTGAAAAGACAAAAAAAACTCTCTTTCCATTATTTATTAAATTCATTTGTGTTAAAAATACTAAAACAGTGAATATCTGGGAATATTATTTACCGACAGGCGAGAAGACTCGCGTCTTGGTAAATATTCCACGATATTCACTGAGCCTGAAGCGAATAATTGTTAAAAAATAACGAGTTCTTACCTGAGGTCCACGGTCTCCCTGAAGAAAAAACGTAAGTTTTTTTGCAATTTAAAAAAAGTAAATAAATAAAACATACAATAATGAACAACTGCTCACTCCAAAATACRACTATGACGCTGTCACAGTTTTGAATAGACCCCTTGCATGTGACGTCAATAAGGAGCTCAATTTGGAGGACAAAACAAAAGAATCATGAGAATGGGAAACCTATAAACTGTTTTCTCAAGGTTGCGTGCGCATCCAACTTGACGGCTCAAAAATTGAAAAACGCAAATTCAGTAAAATTGAGAAGACAGTTTTATATTTAAAGAGGAGAATAATCGATTTTATGAATTCTAGCCGAAAAATTTCATAGAAATGTATGTTAATTCTCATCTTAAAGCTCCTGTTCTGGTATCGTGGCCCGTCAAGTTCCTTAAATTTGGATGCGCACGCAACCTTGAGTAAACGGTCTATTGTTACATGTTTTCCAAATTGAGCTGCATTCCGACGTGGTGCAAGGGGTCAATATACATGTAGTGAAGTTCGTTAGATTGAGGGAATCATTACCTAGAACAAACTAGAGTCTAAAGTAGAAGTCTTGATTCAAATATACAGGCTCAGGCCCAGAAAGGAAAGCTCCTTCATTAAAATAGATAAGCAATATTAACTTAAACTTGAACCCAGTCAAGGTAAGCTTCCCTGTATAGATTCAGCCTAACCTTTATCTCTTACCTTTTGACCCATGGGACCAACAGATCCATCAGGACCCTATGAAAAGCAATCAGACAACGATTAGAGTAACATCACGCGTTACTAATTATTAAYTATGGACGGTAACTTTTTTGGGGAGAGGAGATTAACAAGATATTGTCTAATAGCCTGCTAGTCTCTATACCTACTGCATGCCTTCGGGCTAGAACGTTGTCCTATGTAATCCGTACACTAAGGACGGATTGGCCTTAGTTGGCGTCAGGTCTGAAGTTTGTACGACGCCTCAGCTTGTGCGGATGTCTCGGGGGAATGATCAAAGGAAACGGTAACCGTGAAACGGTAAACCGTGTTCATCGTCCCAGTGTTTTACAGGGATCACATGTTGTTGCGTCATTTGTTCCTGTTATTGCACAAATTACCCACTACAAAAAGGAGCCATTTTGAAAACTCACCAAAACTTGCCCTGCCCTTGCAATCAACAATAACGTACCCCCCCCCCCCCCACACACACACACCTTGGGCAAAAATAGAATTTAAATTACCTGTGGGCCAGTGTTTCCTCGTGGTCCCGCGGGACCGAATGAGCCAACAGGTCCCTAAATATTCAAGATAATGTTATACAGTGCAAAGGAATTTTAGTATACAAGAAAACTGGCAAGTAAATTATTATGGGATCTCGAGGTTTGAAGCATAACAGCTGGAAATGATATATATAATCAAACTGACTCGGCGAAATAGTGAGAAGCACACCGCTATACGTCGCGCCTTTCCAAACAACTTATTACTCGTGCTCTGCCAATCCCCGGAAGCTTTATAACTGCACACAGCACGCGCGCGTGTTTTCAAATTTTCATTAGGAGCTTATAAAAAGGCGATATATTATCAATGATGAATCCAAGATGAATCTGATCAATGGTGCACAAACCTAGATCCGCCATGGTTCTATATTCATAAGCACAAGCTCTCCTACACATACTAGAAGTAAATCATTATTATATTGATGGGTTGGAAGCATTCCCAATAGAGTTAAAAGACAAAAACATGGTGGCCGTTGTGGTACCGTTAACAATGGATGCTAATGAGAAATCTTTTGTTAAATGGTACCAACATGGCCGCGATGACGTAACGTGCAAACAAGAACAGCGACGCGCAAAAGTATGACCATATGTAAAGTAATTCAAAGTAGCTTTTTCCTGCCAAACGAGCGTTTGCAAGCTTTATTTTGTAAAACTTTCAGCTTCGCATCGAAATGTGTCTGAACGAAGTTTCTAGAAGTATGTGAATACATTAAATTGTGGTCATACTTTTGCCCGTGCGCTGTAATTATTATTTAAACTTGAAAAAAGAAAACATGTAAATAAAAATAAATCTAGAAATAAAATAATAAAGTATAATCTTATTTAGCTTTAATTTATGATCCTACTCACCCTATTACCCGTTTCTCCTCTGCTTCCTGTTTCCCCACGAGAACCGAGTACTCCCTAAACACAATTGAAAATAGTTTCGATAGATCTCTTTACCTACTTGGACTTGGTGTATTATTTTCCCGTTTCAGACCACGTGTCTTTTCCTAGAGTATCATTTCTTTCTTTAACTTGTATCAACATTTCCATGTCTTTTTATGCGCAAACGTCTTTTAAGCAACAACATGATATTCTAGGGAATGATACGTGGTTTGAAATAGGAAAACGTTACGCCCAGGATAAGAGGTATATTTTCTCAATTTTTGAAGTCAAGTAAAGAGGAAATTAAAGATATTAAAAGACATACGTCAATTCCCATCGGTCCTTGAGGGCCGGGCTGACCTTGGACACCAACTTCACCCTGTAAAGATTAAACATTGAAAGACATAAGACATCATAAGACATTTCTGACCTACACTTAGACTTATCAGTCCCTCATTTGTATGGTTGATCAGTTGTCAGTTGGCCCGTATGAGTTCATATCAAATAGATCCCTAGAGAGATAACTGGCAATAGAGATGGCAGCCATATTGGTGTACCTAACAAAAGAAACTAATGACAAAGTTATTGTCCAAGGAACACCACAATGGAGGCTGTGATGTCAAACGCTCTATTGAGACTTTGCACCATCATGTGATGACACCAATGAAAGGAGACACAACAATAGAGTCTTTTCGCCTCGGAAACCGAATTCGTTTTCATGTAAATCAGATTAGACCAGATTCAATTGTTCCTCTCTCTTGTCATGGCTGCTATCACGTGATGGTGCAAAGCCTCTATGAAGGGCGGTGTTTGCCTTTCGCCGAAGCCTGATAAACGAGATTCATTCCGGCAATGATAATAAGGAATCTGCGGCGATTACATTTCATAAGTCAGTCACTCATCCTTTAAGGCAATCACTCTGCCCGTCGATCGATCGGTCGATCACTCAGTCAGTCAATCTATTGGTCGATTTTAGCCTGTTGGCCGACGGTTCAGTCGGTCCATCAGTCTGTGGATCGTCCAGTCAGTCTGTTGGCCGACCATTCAGTCGGTCCATCAGTCTGTGGTTCGTCCGGTCAGTCAGTTGGTCGGTCCGGTCGGTCGGTCGGTCGGTCAACCAGCCATTCAATCAGTTTGTAGCTAGTAACAGTATCAATAGAGTGAAGTCAATAAACCCCTGAAATAGATATTGGGCTAATACACATTGGCACTCCTTAATTCCATTGTTTTCTTTTGTGTTAATTTGACTATTACACGTTGACTAGAATTTTTCATATGACGGGTTAAATGCCTTCACTCTATGGATGCTACATAATATCTGTATAGCTGACTCTATCTGTATAGCTGACAACACGTACCTTCTGTCCTTGGTTGCCGGTGTCACCTTTACTTCCCGTAATACCTTGCGCTCCCTGGACAAACAAGGCAGATATTTAGTCACACGGACACGAGTGAAGAACGTCTGCGCATGCTCTGAATCCGTATGCAAATTACTCAAAACATATATAAATTTGACTTTCAAACATGCCTGATAAATTGGGACTTCACAAAGTGCCAAAACTTAGAGTCTATGCTTGAAACTTAAGGGTAATTCTTCCATATTGTGTTTGTTAATACAGTATCTTGGTCTGACAAGTATACTCGCGAAATTTTTTGTATACTTGGAGAAAACAAACATTTATTTTCTCACTCAAACTCTTCAAAATTCTTATAAAACGTGCTGAAGTGCACGCATGCGCAAACGTTTTTCCCTGGTGTCGGTCACAGGGCTGACTGATACAGTTGACTCTCTTTGTACAGCAAGACGCTAAAACACTTGAAGTACGTTGAATACCGTACAGCCTTATTAAGTTTGAATCGAATTGACCAATATACTAATTAGTGCTCAGATATTCACACTAGTGAGACAGCTGAGAATAGATTCTTTGCATGTGACATCAAAGCAGCTCAATTTGGAGGACAAAACAAAAGAATTTCAATCTCATGAGAATCGGAAACATTGTTATGTCCTCCAAATTGAGCTGCATTCCGACGTGCTGCAAGGGGTCTATAAATAACTAAGAGAAACAAAGAAAAAAATAAGAAGCATTACCTGTTCTCCCGGTACTCCTGGCATTCCCTTCAAGCCGGTACGTCCTTCTGGACCCTTAAAACATTACATTCATTTAACACTTGATAATAGAAATAAGCGAGTTAAGGGTATTTTTGATTCAGTTGTTTATACGCACCAATACTCCGTCGATTCCAGGAACACCAGATTCACCAGGTTCTCCTTCGATTCCAGGTATACCTGGAACACCGAGGCCACCTATTGCACCTGTTGCTCCTTGTAAGCCCTACACATGTAAAATAGTTAAGAATACTATACTTAACAATTATTTGCCGAAGGCGAAGTGATTATCAGTGAATATTCACTGAGCCGTGAGTCTTCGAGCGAGTAATTTTAGACTTGAATATCAGAGAAAAGACGAAATTCAGGATAAAAAACGTTATAGTATTACTTCCGCTTTGGCCAACTTTGCAAAAAACCTCATAATCACCGCTCGAGCAGCAGTGAATATCGTCTCAGAATCACTGGTTGCTCGACCAATCACAGCGCGCGAACTCTATATAAAGTTTAAAATCATACTAATAGTACTTATATTACATCTCTCCCTAACATGCACCCATTAAATACACAGACAGCGCAGATGGCATGGAAGACATGCGCTGTTATGGTGCTGATTCTCGTCACTGTGCTGTGTAGTTCATGCCTCGGTCATGCGCAAAGCATGAGTGGACAAAATGACCGACCCTAAGCATTTTGAAAGAACGAAGCAAACACGGCGGTAAAGTGAGGTTTTTTTTG